ATGTCTGGATGATTGATAAGGATAAGGTCCACCCATGCAATGGATAAATTAACAGCTTAAGCATGTAAAGGCAACTTCACTTCTTTAATATTAATGAAAATAAAGTGACTCTTACAATACATCTTGTTTGTTTCTATACTCACTATTAAAACAAACCACTCAAGTTTCTTTTATTAAAGATTCCACTAGGTGGCCACAAATTATATTGTTGGATGAAACGTGCTTATGTATGATGACGTAAGCACGTATGATGACGTAAACACGTATGATGACGTAAGCACGTTAGGGCGAGCCCTCCCGGAAGCCATAGAGAATGCATTGCAGCGCCCCCGTTCGAAAAAAACATCTTTCAATGTAAGTCTATGGGGCCACTCGGGGCGATTCTCAGCCGGAGTGAAATCGCCCAAAAAGAGGCGGTACTCCACAGAACGTAGCATGACGCTGATTGGACTATATCCAGAGGCTGACAGTGACGGCTAGCGTGACTCTGTGGTTTAATGACATTGGTGGTGCGTCGCCCAATCGCCCTAATGAAGAAACCGCCCCTGTTGGAGAGTATATTGAGTACATTGATTATATTGGTGTAGTTTATATTTAGTTGTTTTCACGTCGGTTTATTGTATGGTAGTAGGGTAGTTGCAGTTGTTTAGCGTCAATATGCTAAATTCCTCTGTTGATATGTAACTCCTTTGTCAAGGCACTCTGCTCCTCCAACCCAGCTGAAAGACGCTGCCAAGCTTAGCAGCGTTCATTGAGACGCTGTTTTTCCGACAGCTCTCTTCTTCACCTGAGGACGGCTGCTTTTGTTGTGGCCGAAACGTCGTGAGAATTTTATTTTATTATGGTTTATTTTTATTATTTTATTATCTCCCTTCTACGTTACTTTACCGAAATAACCAAGAAAATGAATCCCTGCAGTCACGAAAGCTTTAACTCGAAATATCATTTATTCAGTTACACTGCTGCTCGCTCGGGGAGGGGATTGTGTGAACCCCGCAAGTGACGTCATGTCACCTCCTGCTGCCGCAAGTGACGTCACGACATACCAGGAGCTTCTGCTCTGCGCACGCTCGCGCACGGAGATCCGTGGGGAGAAGTTTACATCGTGGTGGTTGTTGTTGTTGTGGTTGTGGTGGTTGTTGTTGTGAACCCAGGTAGAGCCTCGCTCCTTCTCCCTCGTAGGGATATCAATTGAGTAGCAGCGAGTATGGAATCGATGTCCAGGTTGAAACATTACAACGCGGGGCCTAGCCATGCGGGGCCTTGCCTCCTGCCCTCGCCTGATTGCATTTGCTTTAATTCTCTGCTTAAGTTTAATTTGTCTTCACCTGGCTCACTACTTTGAAACTTTGTTTTACTTTAAATATTTCTACGTTTTTTTTTATTTTACCAGGCATAGCCCACTTGAGCTACACCGCTCTTTTTCAGAAGCGACCTGCCCACAACGCAGTGGGCTTATCAACGTGTGGAAATGTTTATCGGTCAAATACTCTAAACGCGTGGTGATGTTGACTCTAAATGTGCAGGGAAAACCGCAGGATCCGGAGGAGAATCCACGCGACCACGGAGAGAGAGGGACACGCAAACTCCAAATATACAGCCATAATACAGGTTTGTTTGGGATTGATCGCGTAAATAAATCAATGTGCCGTTAACCCCGCCACCACCCGACACAGCCATTTAGTAAGAGGTTTGTCAGGTAAACAGAACGTGCCCAATGCGTCACTAGTACAGCACTAGTGTGTAGTGTAGTGTACTAGTACATCTCACCGGTGTGTTGGAGAGCCAAGCCACAACATTTACAATCTAAGTACAACGTTTTGACAGTAATTCCAACCAGCTTCATCAGACGACAGCCAAATGTTGTGGCTTGGCTCTGTGGGAATAGAAATCGGCTCGCTGGGTTCATAGCGCAGCACGCTAACCGTTGCACTACTGCTCCCCACTCACACACAAACTTCATCGGAAGTATAGTATTTATCCAGCAATAACTAAGTTACCCGGCTTAGCTCAGGTCTCAGTAATCAAACATTAAGAGTAATGTCTCTGCTTTTTTATGTAATTAAGGTCTATCGTACCATATCGAGGCTTGGGGCTTTGGGTTGTTCTTTGTTTTTTATGTCTCGGCCTCTGCTCACATTCATTGACGATTTTTATGATTTTGGGCAAGCCCGTCTAAAGCTGCGTGACCAGGAGTTGGAGCCATTTGCTGTTCAATTTGGCTTGTGACAGAAATTCACTCTGCCCCCATGCATTGCATTACATAGCATCTTCATTAATTATGTAATTTGAGAAGCTCACAATAGCCATATAAATAATTGCATTCGTTACAGTTAAAATGATACGCGCATCGATGCCTGGTTATAGTTAAGGGATCGTTCCCTGGTCAACCATGTTATATCTGCTGATGATCTGGAAATGGCTACTCAATGAGATCGGGTTAGATAATCTCGTTCTGTGCCCGGATAATTCCATCATGAAAGGTGGCCTTGCGTATGTTCCACCAAAATAAATCACCTGCCTGGGAATTTCATGTCATACAACACTGTACCTGCTCAACTCTCCATGAGTAATCAGGCAGTTCTGCAAGTAATGGAGGAGCTCCCATACCTGGTTAATGTGTTCACGACCAGCTCTGGTTTGGCAGCCAAAGTCTCACTTTAAATTTGTCTAGCAGCATTCTTTCATTAGACTGTGTAACACTGTGTGGAAGCTGCCTGGACTTTTGCGCCATACAAAGCTGTGAGTGTCCATCACCAAGGTCTAGTCTGTCTGAGACCATCCCTCTCCCTGCCATACTGGCATCGCACCCGCCTCTCACTCTTCGTACTGTGGATGGTGGGCGCACAGGACGGTGCCACGCAGCCATTCCAGGCTGGGTCCAAATGGGTTACGTGGGTCACCGAGCCACCAGGCCTCATTCCACGAGTGATATCAATATACAATATCTGTAACGAGGCCCCCCAATAGACTGCCCCTGGAACTCTATCGGGCACGTCCCACTGAGGGAAGTCCCCGGGGCCCGGGCCTGGACTTGCTGGTGGGAATATGTCGCTTGGCTGATTTGGGAATGCCTGGGAATTCCCCAGGAAGATCCAGAGTCTGTCGCCAGGGAAAGGGAAGTCTGGACTGCCCTACTAAATCTGCTGCCGCTACAACCCTCACCAAGACAAGAGGATTTAGAAATAAACGAACAAACAAAGCTGCGAGTCTTCTTGGCCACAGATATTACTCCTTTCTCTGTAGATGCAAAATATTAACTTATTTAAAGGACCGTCTGTTCTGGCTTATAATTAAGACTGGCCAGCCTATGATCCCCTCTATTGAACCAAACAAGATTGTATTATAACCTTACAGAGCCCTAAAATATCAGTACAGAATATAATCTGAGACTTTGGCAGGGAGGCTGCATTGGTTGGGTCATGAATTCCGCATAAACAGACAGCATGCACAATCATCTTCTGTTAGTCCAGATGTTACGGGCTAAACGGGCATGGCATTGGCTAGAGAAGAGATTGGAGGATGTGGAGTTGATCAGACCTGCTGTCAAGATCGGCCTCTCGAAGAGGCCCATGACGTATGCTGCAGGGGAGTTGGAGGTATTTGCTCTGCAACAACAATGAGGTTGGAGTAGCAACGATCACATGAATGGGTGGAACGCTGGGTGCCTCAAATGCAGCAAGACAGCAGGAAGCACAGCTGGTGCGTCTGTTAATCATCTCAGTCAGTCATCCCTTGACACCTGGATCATTCTCATGACATGCTGACAAGTGATCCACACTTACATGGCATTCATGTGAAATATATGTGTATGTAAGAGTTTATCTATGTGGGGAGCGGTGGCGCAGTTTTTCCACTGTGTAACAAAAAAATGTCTTGTTCCTGTATGTGTTATTTCCTAATTGCTTTTGCCTCTTAAGTACAAAAATTGGCTATTCCCCACAAACTTTGCTTTTGTGACCAGGACAGTGATATTTAGAAATGTACCTCTTTTCAATGAAAAAACAGGTGAATTTGTTATTTTCGTTCACGTACAATTCTGGTCACAAAAGCAAAATTTGTGGGGAATAATAGCCAATTTCTAGACTCTTAGGCATAAGCAATAAAAAAAATAACACTTAGTACCCAGGAACAAAAATTGTGTTACATAGTGTTATCACAATTAAAGTTTGATTATCTCTGACAACAAACGTGATTGATTCATGAAAACTTAACTTATTGTGGGGAAGCATTAATAATGAGCATATGAAGGTGGCCAGGCATGGTTCTGAACACACCACCACCTTTTTTCCATGCCAGTGTGTGTTACAGTGTCAAGTTTGTATTTGCAGTAAAGTATATTAACTCGATTGAACACGGAGGTTAAATCAAAACAATAGTATATACTTTTTTTCCTCTGGAAATTTTTAGGAGAATGGAAACAGGAAATTAACACTGCACATATGCAGCTGAAGTTAGATCTGTTCATCCCAGCATTCAAGGAAATCTGAGCCTGGCTTCATGCCTCTAAGTTAGCGATTGAACATTAATTTATGCATTTCTGCATAATAAAAATAGTATTATTTTCAACACCCTTTTCTATGTTAGCTGCATTTTTCTTTTATAAATATTCTTTTTGTAGCCAGAAAACTGAAATTGTGTGCTTGGAGTTTTAGGTTAACATTCATTTTGAAGATACTAGGGCTTCCAGGTTGACCATTGGCCCTCTAATTGTGTGCCCGTGTGATGAATTTGGGAATCTTTTTCATATTATCATGAATATATGAATGAGTATAGACATGCAAGTCATGTGTGACTGTATATATGCATTCCTTTGTGCCTCAATACTGACGTAGATAGTGTGGATATTCTCTTTTTTCTGTCTGCAGCTGACGCTTCCTCTGCAGAATTGGTTTGATGGAACAAAGGCACTCAGCGCAGCTCGGTACAAAAAGGCAACAACGCGACCAGCGTGCATACAGCATGGATCGTGTTGGACATTTAACACAGCACCAGAGAACTCACACAGGAGAGAAACCCTTCAAGTGCACTGTGTGTGACAAGGCATTTTCATATCCATCAGTTCTAAGGAACCACCAGAGAACACACACGGAAGAAAAACCCTTCAAGTGCAGTGTGTGTGGGAAGGCATTTTCAAATTCATCTGCTCTTAAAAAACACCGGAGAACACACACAGGAGAAAAACCCTTCAAGTGCAGTCTGTGCGCGAAGGCGTTTTCACAGTCATCTGCTCTTGTATTACATCAGAGAACACACACGGGAGAGAAACCCTTCAGTTGCACTCTGTGTGGGAAGGCGTTTGCACGTTCACAAAATCTTAAAATACACCAGAGAACACACACAGGAGAGAAACCCTTCAAGTGCACTGTGTGTGACAAGGCATTTTCACATTCATCAGTTCTTAGAATCCACCAGAGAACACACACGGGAGAGAAACTCTTCAGGTGCAGTCTGTGCGGGAAGGCGTTTTCACAGTCATCTGGTCTTGTATCGCACCAGAGAACACACACGGGAGATAAACCCTTCAAGTGCAGTGTGTGTGGGAAGGCATTTTCAGATAAATCTCCTCTTAAAAAACACCGGATAACACACACAGGAGAAAAACCCTTCAAGTGTAGTCTGTGCGAGAAGGCGTTTTCACAGTCATCTGCTCTTGTATTACATCAGAGAACTCACACGAGAGAGAAACCCTTCAGTTGCACTTTGTGTGGGAAGGCGTTTGCACATTCACAACATCTTAAAATACACCAGAGAACACACACAGGAGAGAAACCCTTCAGTTGCACTCTGTGTGGGAAGGCGTTTGCACAATCACCATATCTTAAATTACACCAGAGAACACACACTGGAGAGAAACCCTTCAAGTGCACTGTGTGTGGGAAGGCGTTTGCACATTCACAACATCTTCAATTACACCAGAGAACACACACGGGAGAGAAACCCTTCAAGTGCACTGTGTGTGACAAGGCATTTGCACAGTCATCAGGTCTTCATAGACACCAGAGAACACACACGGGAGAGAAACCCTTCAGTTGCACTCTGTGTGGGAAGGCGTTTGCACAGTCATCAATTCTTAAAAGACACCAGAGGACACACAATCATCAGAAGATCCCCAAGAAATGGAGTCTGAAATCGGCTTGTGAAAGTCAAAGTGCTGCAATGAGCCCATCCCTCATGAAACCAGAAGTGAATCCCAGCTTGGACACTTTTAAAGGTATCAAGGTGAAATGTGAAGAGGCGAAGGTGAAATGTGAAGAAGTGATGAAGAGCGAAGAAGTGAAGGTGAAATGTGAAGTGATGGTGAAGAGCGAAAAAGTGACGGTAAACTGTGAAGATGAAGATTCAACTCCAAAATCGTACCTTCACATCGATGGAGACAACGTGAAGCAGGAGGAGAATTCTGACTGCGAGGCAGAGCTAGGCAACTCCCAGCAGTTTGTGGAAGTGGAGGTGTGGGTGGACTTCTTAGACAATACAAAGTCAAATGGAGACCCGGTAGATGGGTAGGCTTGAGACAATGAAGCTCCAATAGATGCACCTTTGTCACAGGCCTTTAATGAAAAGAACGTGAAATTGAACACTGAATTCCTGGGTTCAACCTGCAGAGTAAGAGCGGCGAGTATTTGTTGACCTGTGGGTTGGGTAGATGAAGAATCAGGAGCAAGAGCCAATAAGCTTCTAAGTATTCCACTGTTATATTTATATTTGCATTGATATGGTGTTTAATTGCCTCAGCAACTCAGTTTCATATCTCATCACAAACACTCGAAGAGCACCTTCAAGTGGCAGCTGCCTCTGTCATAAGGTGACTCTGCTGTCACCTGCATGTGGGCATGAGTCTGTCAGTAGGGGGTGATGATTGATGTGTAATCTTCATTATGTAATTTCTGGATAATGTTTGAAATTGCCCAAATATTGACCATGACACCAACATGCAATGACCTATGCGTTTTGAATGACACAATCTTAAGCAGACGGTGCATATTTTGTTAAATGTTCCTTGAGTAGCCAGACGTGCCTGTCGGATTTGAACCTTGAACCTCTGCAATAAATAGAGAATGTGCTTCTACTTGGCTTCCCTCAATCTGAGTGTAGGCATGACAGCCTGAATGTGTCTAACTGGCGCAGATGTTCCATTTAGAGGGGTCCACGTTTCACATGCCTACAGAGGGAGGGCATGACTGGCCGAGAAGAACCGAAGCTTCATGTGGAGCGACAGACCAGGCAGCTTCCACACAGCATAGCGCAGCCGATGTAAAGATAATGCCGCCCGACTGATTCGGACCACCCACACTACACGCAGTATACCCACAAGATCTACACACACCATGTACACAGCGTACACACAGTTTGCCCACACAGTATACAAACAGTCTGTACACGCACAGTGTATACACACAGTAACAACCGCCATTCGCCACTAAGTGGCGGTGACGTCACCACGGCGCTTGTGCCAGGCTATGTGCACGGGCAGATCCAGGTGTCATGGGTCGACTGACTTAAATGACTGGCCAATGCACCACCTGTGCCCCCGACTGCGCCAACAAACAGTGTCCACACACAATGTTCACGTTGTTGAGCTCACGCACCCAATGGGTCTCTGTTCAAGAGAGGGAGCCACAGAAATGGAATCTAAATAAACTTGAACTCTAACCCTGATCTCGCTCTCTGACGTCACCCTCATTAACTCGGCATGATATGCGAGGGGGAGGTGTCCTCCATTAGTGACGTCATGTCACCGAGGTATTTACCCCCACCGGGATTTTGAGCGTGACGTCACGTCTGCCGATTTCCGTTCCAGTAAAGTGCTTATTTGGGACGGGGTCAGCAGCCAAGAACCATCACCTGACATGGGCCCCTCTCATTAACATAATATATTCAGTTACCCTGCTGCTCGTTGGGGAAGAGGATTGTGTGAACCCCGCATGACGTCACGAGTTACCAGGTAGCTGCTGCTCCGCGCACGCTCGCTCACTGAGATCCGAGGTGAGAAGTTTACATCGTGGTGGTTGTTGTTGTTGTGGTTGTTGTTGTGAACCCAGGTAGAGCCTCGCTCCTTCTCCCTCGTAGGGATATCAATTGAGTAGCAGCGAGTATGGAATCGATGTCCAGGTTGGAACATTACAACGCGGGCCTAGCCATGCGGGGCCTTGCCTCCTGCCCTCGCCTGATTGCATTTGCTTTAATTCTCTGCTTAAGTTTAATTTGTCTTCACCTGGCTCACTACTTTGAAACTTTGTTTTTACTTTAAATATTTCTACGTTTTTTTTATTTTACCAGGCATAGCCCACTTGAGCTACACCGCTCGTTTTCAGAAGCGACCTGCCCACAACACAGTGGGCTTATCAACGTGTGGAAATCGTCTTGGTTCTTTCGGTAAAGTCACGTAGAAGGGAAGTAATAAAATAATAAAAATAAAACATAATAAAATAATTCTCACGACGTTTCGGCCACAACGCAAGCAGCCGTCCTCAGGTGAAAACCAGGTGTCGACAGACCTGTTTTCACCTGAGGACGGGTGCTTGCGTTGTGGCCGAAACCTCGTGAGAATTATTTTTGTTTTATTTTGATTATTTATTACTTCCCTTCTACGTGACTTTACCGAAAGAACCAAGAAGATGAATCCCTGCAGTCACGAAAGCTTTAAATCGAAATTTAACGTGTGGAAATGTTTATCGGTCAAATACTCTAAACGCGTGGTGATGTTGACTCTAAATGTGCAGGGAAAACCGCAGGATCCGGAGGAAAATCCACGCGACCACGGAGAGAGAGGGACACGCAAACTCCAAATATACAGCCATAATACAGGTTTGTTTGTGTGAGATCGCGTAAATAAATAAATGTGTCGTTCACCCCGCTACCACCCGATACATCCAATTAGTAAGGGTTTGTCACGTAAACAGAACGTGGCCAATGCGTCACTAGTACAGCACTAGTGTGTAGTGTATAATACTGTAGTGTATAGTAGTGTAGTGTATAGTGTATAGTGTAGTGTACTAGTACAGCACATCGGTGTGTTGAAGAGCCAAGCCACAACATTTACAATCTGAGTACAACGTTTTGACACTAATTCCAACCAGCTTCATCAGACGACAGCCAAATGTTGTGGCTTGGCTCTGTGGGAATAGAAATCGGCTCTTGGGTTAATAGCGCAGCACGCTAACCGTTGCACTACCGCTCCCCACTCACGCACAAACTTTATCGGAAGTATAGTATCCAGTAATAACTAAGTTTCCCGGCTTAGCTCAGGTCTCGGTAATCAAACATTAAAAGTAATGTCTTGCCATGCTGGCTTTATTAGAATAATTTAATTCTGCCAAGAAAGCTGTAAATGTGTATATTGTCACGGTTTTGTGGTTGTGTTATACAATACCGGGGCTTGTTTGTTTCATGAGACAGCTTTTAAATACGTTGCCCTTGGAGAGCTTCAGGATAGACAATGTTGGATTTTTGCCATCTGGTGGTGTTGGCACAATTTGGTTCCCAAAAAAACGTTCATGTGCACAAAGTTTGCTTTATTTATATAGATTTTTCCCATATTTTGTCTTGTGTATGGTTTCTCAATGTTCATTTAATTGTTTAGTTTTATTTTCCTTTTACCTCATGCCATTATTTAGGTAAGGCTTAAGTATTGAATATCGCACTTTTGGCTTTGCGAGGCACTTTCCCAGATCGTAACCTCTATATTCAAGGGGCTGAGGAGTGCCGATTTTCAGCAGAAACTATATCTCTGCTTTATTGATGTAATTAAGGCATATAGTACCATATAGAGGCTTGGGGCTTTGGGTTCTTTGTTTTTTACGTCTCTGCTCTGCTCACATTCTTTGATGATTTTTATGATTTGGGGAAAGCCCGTCTAAAGCTGCGTGACCAGGAGTCGGAGTCATTTCCTGTTCAACTTGGCTTGTGACAAAAATTCACTCTGGCCCCATGCATTACATTACAGAGCATCTTCAATAATTATGTCGTTTGAGAAGCTCTCAATGGCCATAGAAATAAATAGCATTGTTACGTTAAAATGATACGCGCATCGATGCCTGGTTATAGTTAAGGGATCGTTCCTTGGTCAACCATGTTATATCTGCTGATGATCTGGAAATGGCTACTTAATGAGATGGGTTAGATAATCTTGTTCTGTGCCTGGATAATTCCATCATGAAAGGTGGCCTTGCGTATGTTCCACCAAAATAAATCACCTGCCTGGGAATTTCATGTCATACAACACTGTACCTGCTCAACTCTCCATGAGTAATCAGGCAGTTCTACAAGTAATGGAGGAGCTCCCATGCCTGGTTAATGTGTTCACGACCAGCTCTGGTTTGGCAGCCAAAGTCTCACTTTAAATTTAGTCTAGCAGCATTCTTTCATTAGACTGTGTAACACTGTGTGAAGCTGCCTGGACTTTTGCGCCATACAAAGCTGTGAGTGTCCATCACCAAGGTCTAGTCTGTCTGAGACCATCCCTCTCCCTGCCATACTGGCATCGCACCCGCCTCTCACTCGTCGTACTGTGGATGGTGGGCGCACAGGACGGTGCCACGCAGCCATTCCAGGCTGGGTCCAAATGGGTTACGTGGGTCACCGAGCCACCAGGCCTCATTCCACGAGTGATATCAATATACAATATCTGTAACGAGGCCCCCCAATAGACTGCCCTGGAACTCTATCGGCACGTCCCACTGAGGGAAGTCCCAGGGCCCAGGCAAGTACATGCTGGTGGGAATATGTCGCTTGGCTGATTTGGGAATGCCTGGGAATTCCCCAGGAAGATCCAGAGTCTGTCGCCAGGGAAAGGGAAGTCTGGACTGCCCTACTAAATGTGCTGCCGCTACAACCCTCACCAAGACAAGAGGATTTAGAAATAAACGAACAAACAAAGCTGTGAGTCTTCTTGGCCACAGATATTACTCCTTTCTCTGTGGATGCAAAATATTAACTTATTAAAGGACTGTCTGTTCTGGCTTATAATTAAGACTGGCCAGCCTATGATCCCCTCTATTGAACCAAACAAGATTGTATTAGAACCTTACAGATCCCTAAAATATCAGTACAGAACATAATCAGCGAGTTTCTTTGGGAGGCCAAGCTGCATTGGTTGGGTCATGAATCCCGCATAAACAGACAGCATGCTCAAGCATCTTCTGTTAGTCCAGGTGTTACGAGCTAAACAGGCATGGCATTGGCTTGAGAAGAGATTGGAGGATGTGAAGTTGATCACACCTGCTGATGACTGGTACCAGGAGTGTCATGATCAGCCTCTGTGGAGGAGGCCCGTGATATATGCTGCGGGCAGTTGAGATATTTGCTCTGCAACAACAGTGAGATCGGAGGAGCAACGCTCACATGAATGGGTGGAACGCCGGGTGCCTAAAATGCAGCAAGACAGTGTGAAGCACAGCTGGTGCATCTGTCAAACATCTCAGTCATTCATCCCTTGACACCTGGATCATTCCAATGACCTGCTGACAAGTGATCCACACTTACATGGCATTCATGTGAAATGTATGTGTAGTGAGTTCAACTGAGTCGCAGACGTACACTTGGAGGCAACACATTTATTTAACACCAACACACGGGTAACTGCCCCTTAACAGAATAACAACCTGTGGTGGTGACCACCAGGCTAACTGCACTAATTACAACGTAACGAGCTACTACGGACCGGGACCACAGCTCGGGTCCAGTTCCACATGTTGTAGACTTGGTGGAACGTAGACGAACGTTTCTTCAGGTTGAACAACAACGCCGGTTCCTCTGGGGGACCCGGCTTATATTTTTTGCGGTGTGGCTGGCTCCGCCCTTGGCCACGACCACCTTTCAGAATCCTCGAGCAGGATCTGGACCCCGACCACGTGACCACCCCTAGCCCCCACTTTGGGCCCCTTTGTAGACTTAACTGGTCACGTGCCCTCTCGGGTCAACCAGAGTGCCATGGCCTTTAGTAACCTCATTCCTACGGCTGGCACTCCCACACCCTATCCTGTAGGGCCGGCACTACACGCCAAGCGTGGTGCCATCCGGCGATATCAATCAGCGCTCACCGAGCCCCTCTAGGGCCAGTACTACACTCACCATAATGGTATCCGCGATGTCGTTACACCGCACGCCGTGCCTCTCTAGAGCCGGCACTACACAGTGACATCCCGCAATGTCACTACATCTGTAAGAGTTTATTTATGTGGGGAGCGGTGGCGTAGTTATTACACTGTGTAACAAAAAACATTTTTGTTCCTGGGTAGTGTTATTTCCTAATTGCATATACCTCAAAAGTACAGGAAATGCTATTATTCCCCACAAACTTTGCTTTTGTGACCAAAAGCAAAGTTTGTGGGGAATAATAGCGATTTTCTATACTTTTTAGGCATAAGCAATAAAAAAAATAACACTTTGTACGCAGGAACAAAAATTGTGTTACATAGTATTATCATTGTACTAGCGGTTAGTACCCGGCGTTGCCCGGCGAAAAAGGCAGACACATGTAGTTACACACGCAAATCGACTCACACACACAGAGTTACACGCACAAATCGACTCACACATACATACATAGACTGAACAAAAACCGCCATTCACCACTAAGTGGCGGTGACGTCACGACAATGCTTGTGCCAGGCTATGTGCACCTTGAGGCCACATGAAGTGTCGAACGCCCGCTGGCAGGAGGTCAGGGGGCAAACCCAGATGGCACAGATCGACTGACTGAGACGACTGGCTGATGCACCACCTGTGGCCCCTACTGTGGCAACTTTCTGTGCTTTAGCCACCCGGCGCTCCGCTCGTTGTTGTGAGCGTCACTCCTCCGCCCTCCGTTGTTGTTGGAGGGTGACTGATTCCAACTGCCCAGTAGCGTCCTTCAGGAGCCTGCTCCAGAGGCCGATCTTGACACCGTTGGTACCAGTCATCCGCAAGTGGACTCAGCTCCAAGTCATCCTGTACCAGATCACTCCATGTCTTCTCCAGCCCGTGCCGCGCCCGTTAGCCCCCTCGATCCGGTCGAACAAAAGCTGTTTAGGCATGCGGTGGCTGGCCATGCGGGCTACATGACTCGGGCAACGCAGCCTTGCCTGCTGGAGGTCACCGATGGGACTTTGTCCACATCTTTCAAGGATTTGTGAGCTCCTCACACAATGCAGCCTGGTTAAACCCAGGATGGATCGTAGGCAGGCCATCCTAAATGTTTATAATCGGCGAAGATGTTCCATTAGGGGGTCCAAGTTTCGCAAGCATCGAGAAGGGAGGGAATGACCGTGGCCGAGAAGACCTGAAGCTTCGTACGGAGTGATAGA